TAACAAAACCCAAACCCAGCTTGAGCCTTGTCTATATTGACTGAAGCCCCTACACTCAGTAAGGATATAGAATACTGAAACAAAATTGTCTACTAGACCTAATTGAAAATTACGGAACAGAAACAGCAGAATAAGCATGCTTTTCAAGTACATACGAAACAAATAAGGTAAAACATATCCTGGATCCTAAAAGTAAGTAAGTTTAAAAGAGCTAAAATCATACATACTTTATTCTTGACCATAAGAGAATTAAACTAGAAATCAATCAAAGAAAGATACTGGTAAAGAACGCATTTATAAAAAACCCATGGGTTATTAGAACCCATAAAATCACAAGAGAATTTTTTAAAATTTTTAATTGGGTGAAAATGGCAATAAACTATATCCTAATTTATAGACACAAATAAACCAGTACACAGAAAGAAATTTACAGCATTAATTAGAAGAGAATAAAGATCTCAAATCAAAAATCTAATTTCATCTAAATAGCTTAAAACATGCAAATTAAATCAAAAGCAAGCAGACAAAAATAATAAAGGAAAAAAATCAGAGCAACTGAAAACAGAAAAACCAAGAGCTTCTTCTTTGAAAGTATTAATTGATAAATCTCTAGCCAGATTAATTAGGGAAAAAAGAACACATGGCCAGGCACCCCGTGGCTCACGCCTGTAATCTCAGCACTTTGGGAGGCCGAGGCGGGCAGATCAAGGAGGTCAGGAGATCGAGACCATCCTGGCTAACATGGTGAAACCCCGTCTCTATTAAAAATACAAAAAATTAGCTGGGCATGGTGGCAGGTGCCTGTAGTCCCACCTACTCAGGAGGCTCAGGCAGGAGAATACTGTGAACCCAGGAGGTGGAGCTTGCAGTGAGCCAATCTCACACTACTGCACTCCACCCTGGGCGACAGAGCGAGATTCCATCTCAAAAAAAAAAAAAAAAGAACACACATTACAATATAAGGAATGAAAGAGGGGTTATCACTACAAATCCTACAGACACTAAAAGGACTATAAGGGGATCACATAGACAATTTTATACCAGTAAATTTGTTAAAATAGATTAAGTGCAGCAACTTCTTGAAACATAAAAACTACAAAAGCTTACAGAAGAAGAAATAGATAACCTGAATGGCCTGCATATATTTTTAATTGAATTTTTTTAATTAAAAATGTGTCCATAAAGAAAACTCTAGGCACCAGTGACTTTGCTGGGAACTCTACCACATATTTAAAGAGAAAATAATATTAATTCTACATAAATTCTTCCAGAAAATAAGGAACACTTCCCAACTCATTTTATAAGATCATCATTACCTGATATCGAAAGCAGACAAGCAGACAAAGTGTTACAAGAAAAAAAAAAAAAAAAACTACAAAGAAATATCTTTTTTTTTTTTTTGAGACAAGGTCTGGCTCTATCACCCAGGCTGGAGTGCAGTGGTGCAATCTGCTCACTGCAACCTCTGCCACCCAGGTTCAGGCCATCCTCCCAACTCAACCTCTCAAGTAGCTGGGACTACAGGTGTGCATTGCCACACCGGCTAATTTTTGTATTTTTTTTAGAGATAGGGTTTTGCCATGTTGCCCAGGCTGGTCTCAAACTCATGAGCTCAAGCATCTGCCCACCTTGGCCTCCCAAAGTGCTGGGATTACAGGCATGAGCCACCGTGCCCAGCCACAAACCAGTATCTTTCATAAATACAGTTACAAAATTTCAGCAAAATGTTAGCAAATTGAGTCAAGAAATATATAAAAAGGATAATGCATCATAACCAAGTGGAATTTATCTCAGGAATGCAAAATTGGTGCAACATTCAAAACCAATCAGTATTACTCATCCTATCAACATGAGCAGGAAAAATAATATGGACATATCGACAGATATAAAAAAAGTATTTAACAAAGTTCAACATCCATTCATGATAAAACCCTCAGAAAACTAGGGATAGAATAGAGCTTCCTCAACCTGAAAAATAAAAAGCATCTACAAAACATTGCACTGGAGGCATTATCCAGTACAATAAGTCAAGAAAAAGAAATAAAAGGCACACAGATTGGAAAGGAAAAAGTAAAACTGTCTTTAGTTCATTATGATACATGTACCTGGAAAATTTTAAGTAATCTAAGAAAACGTACTATAACCAATACATAAGTTTAGCAAGTTCTCAGGATACATAGTAAATAGATCAATATCAATTGCATTTCTGTATGTTAATAATAAACAATTAAAACTTAAGTCGCCATTTATAATAGCAGCAAAAACCATGAAATACTTAAGGGAAAAATCTTAACAAAGAGTGTACAATATTTCTGTGCTGAAACTACAAAACACTGACAAGAGAAAATAAAAACAATATTAATAAATGAAAAGACAAACCATGTCCATGGGCCAGGAAATTTAATATTGCTAAAATCTCGATTCTCCCCAAATTGATCTACAGATTCAACATAATCCCAATCCAATTTTCAACAATTTTTGTAGTAATTTGTAAGCAGATTCTAAAATTTATATAGCAAAGCAAAGGACCTAGAATAGCCAAAATAATTTTGGGAAAAAAAGGAACAAATTTGGAGGACTTTGATCTCAAAGCTTACTATAAAGTTACAAAAAGCAAGATAGTGTGGTATTGTATGATGAACAAATAGATCAATGGAACAAAATAGAGAGCCAGAAATTGTGTGTGTGTCTGTGTGTGTGTGTGTGTGTGTGTGTGTGTGTGTAATTGATTTTCGACAAAGGTGCCAAGGAAATTAGCAGACCTGTCCCTTTTGGATAACAACCACGTAACTCTTCAGTCTTCATTCCTCCTCTGCACCCCACAAGCACTGCTCTAATCCCTCCAAATTGATCGCCACCCCTTTAGCCTCTGGGTGCAGGACAAGGGCTGTAGGCAATGTTCTCCTCTACCTCCGGTCCTGTCCCTGCCCTGCTCCTTCACAACTTTAAACAATAATCTTCCCAGAAAGATCTCCCTGATAGCCTTGATCCCTCCCTCCCAAGCAATTCATTAATTGGTCCTCTAGTTTCAGTTGATTTGCCCTAATTGATTGAGGTACTACTCCTCACTGTGCAATTCTGACTCCAGCACTTTCTACCTGTGTATGCTTAGGATAGGTTTTTCAACAAATCAGTAATGGAAATACTGGATATTCACATGCAAAAAAAAAAAAAAAAAAAAAGGCTTACCTTGCACCATATACAATAACTAACTCAAAATGAATCACAGACCTAAATGTAGAAGCTAAAACTATAAAACTTCTAGAACAAACAAACATAGTAGAAACTTTTTTAAGACCTTGAGTTAGGCAAACACTTAGGTAGGGAACAAAAAACACAAATCATAAAACAATTGATAAAAATTTATGTCACCAAAATCAAGCGTTTTTCCCTTTCAAAGACCCAGTTAAGAAAATGAAAAGATAATCCACAGACTGGGCAGGGCGCGGTGGCTCATGTCTGTAATCCCAGCACTTTGGGAGCCAGAGTCAGGCAGATCACTTAAGATCAGGAGTTCGAGACCAGCCTGGCCAATATGGTGACACCCCGTCTCTACTGAAAATACAAAAAATTAGCTGGGCGTGGTGGTGGATGCCTGTAACCCCAGCTATTCAGGAGGCAGAGGTTGCAGTGAGCCAAGAAGAAATACCACTCCAGCCTGGGTGCAGAGGGAGACTCCATCTCCAAAAAAAGAAAATAATAACGACAGACTGGGAGGAAATATTTGCAAGACGCATATCTAATAAAGACTTACATCATAAAGAAAGAATCCTTACAACTCAACAATAAGAAGACAAACAATATGATTTTTTTTAATGGGAAGAAGATTTGAACAGAGTACCTCACCAAAAAATACATAAGCACATGAGAAAATGCTTAACATAATTAGTCATTAGGGAAATGCAATAAAAGCTACAATAAGATACTATTACACTTCTACTAGAGAAGTATAATTAATTAATAAAAATAAATAAAAGACTGGCAACATCAAGTGCTATCAAGGATGCAAAACAACTGGAACTCTCAGAACTGCTAGTGGGAATGGAAAATGATACAGCCACTTTGGAAAAGTGTGACCGTTTCTCATAGAATTAAACATTACACTTACCATACAACTCAGCAATTCCAACCCTAGGTATTTATCCAAGAAAAAAAGAAACAAATATCCAAGCAAAATCGTATACTAGAATGTATATAGCAGCTTCACTTATAATCTCTAAAAACAGAACGCAGTCCAAATGCCCTTCACACAATAATGGATAAACAAACCATTGTACATTCACTGAAATATTACTCAGCAATAAAAAGGAACAGAACTACTGAAATACCAACAAAATGGATGAATCTCAAAAGCATTGTGTTAAATGCCAGAAAGCAGGCACAAAATGTACAAACTGTATGATTTCATTCATGTGAGTCACAAAAAAGGTAAAGATCTCGATCAATCTGTGCATCCTCAGTGCCTAGCATGTTATAAAATATCCAAAAAAAATGCTAGGTGGTGGACGTATAGACGAGGAATCATTGCAGGGAGGGTAAAGTGCAAGAAAGTGATATATTGACCACAAGGCAGAAAGGTACCTGGGGACCCAAGACCCCCCACAGGACGGAAAAAAGTGAGGGAAGGCGTGGTCCAAGCTACCTTCAGTGAGTCCAGCAGCTTAAAAAAAATAGAGCCTGTAAATGACTGCAAGAATAGATAAATGAGTTGGTAAACCAAGCGCTTCTCTGGTCTGAAAAAAGGTGTGATGCGCCCCACCCTCCTTTATAAATCTATTAACTATGCCTGGGGCTGAGGCAGCAGAGCTTGCACCAGACAGGGAGGTGGGGGGTTTTTTGTTTGTTTTGTTTTGGTTTTGGTTTTTTGTCTGTTTGTTTTTTGAGCACCAGAGCGGAGATGGAGAGGTCAGAGGCGAGCTCTGGCTTGGGTGAGGAGGGTGAAGAAGAGACACCGCTGCGGCCCCGCCCGTCTCCATCCCTTCCCACTCGGCCTCACTTACCCAGGCCTGCCGTTCCAGCTGAGAGTACAAATTGGAGCCCTTGAGCTTTTGGACTATCTGGGCAATAATGAGAGAGAGGTCCGACTCCTCCTGCAACATTTCCCCTGCCCTAGCCCGCCAAGCCGCGGGGACAGGCCGCCGGCGCGGAGCGAACGGGCTACCGGGTCCCACTCAGGGCCAGTGACACTTCTCCGGGACCTTATTACACTGGGACTCCTCCAGCGGGCGTTACCAGGCAACTGACGAGCCGTGTGTCCGTCCCTCTCTGGTCCCCTCAGCGCCTGAAGGCCCCAGCATCTGCGTTCCGCCTGCGGAAAAAGACCGGGGCGGGGAGGACGCTTTTCACACCATTGTTCCTGCCTTGTCTATTTTGTCTATGTTGAAAGGCAGGAAAGCTCATTCCTTCGGAGCCACAGCGCCTCTGATGCACAAGGGGGACACGGAGAATTGTGCATTTTACTATATAAAGGATCATTTTCTTCCACCTCTCAATTTCTGCACAAACAGGACTGTGGCACGCAATGATACTGCGAATTACAACCAAGAATTGTTAGGCTCTGACACGAGCTGCGTGAACGTGTTACAGTTTCCGCCTCTGTAAAATAACACCCAGTTTGCAGGATGTTGTGATTTGCTGAGGTAAAAATCCTGAAGGTGCCTAGCACTGTACATAGCACTCCATTTTACTTCATTTTCTCTCGTTTCTATTCTCTAGAGTCTTACACCAGGAATAAGTAGACAATCTAGTCTCATCTAACAGCTACAAATTAACCAACAGGCATTCTTGGTAGGTTTTCTGCAAAGCATTAGGAATTCAAGGATGAATAAGACATTGTCCCAGTCTTACCATCTAGATTCATCCTCTTCCATATATTCATTTATTCAAGCATTTTTCATAATTCATTCAGCTTTCAACTTATAGAACGTTTACATAAAAGGGACTGTGTGGGCACAAAGGTTTAATAAAATATGGTTCTTGCCTTCAAGGAAATGCACAAAAGATTTTTAGCAGAACTAAAAGTAACTGATTTAAATTATTGAATGACATCCCCAAAGGCCAACTGCACCTCCCCTCCCCCCAAAAAAGCCCTAGTGAATAATACACACATTAGAATAACCTCACAAAAATAATCAAAATTAAGTTCAAATGTGTATATGCATATTGTAAGCAAAGCAAAAGTAGGATTTTAAGAAAACAGACTGAGATTGCTGCAAAAGCTACTCTAGACTAACTAGAAACAAAAGAGATCTCGTTCAATCAAATGCAGGTTCTAATTCAATAGGTCTCTGGTGAGAACCGGTAAACTGCATTTCTGACAAGTCCCATCAGATTGTGATACCGATGGTCCAAAGACTGCATTCTGAATAGCAAAGGACTAAAGCAGGAAATAATACGAATTAAAAGGGACTGGACCCGAGCCTCTATGCGCAACACTCTGACATTTATAACACCACCATCCAGAATACTGGGATGATAAGTACAAATTCTAAATAACTCGCTTGGTAAAGTTGGTTTATCAAACCAAGTTTAGAAAATGGCAGGCAGGAAAGAAACAAAGCACTTAAAGGCAATTAATAACAGACTCTCTAAAATGCAGTTTCTCTATAAAGCATTCTCTCACAACTCAGAATTTCTCAAAGCTGCAGATAAGTAGATATTGTCAACTCTTTATAGTCCTTCCGTCTCAACACTCCACCCATCCATGAATTCCCACCGCAAATCTCACTTTGAACAGAGAGAGAGAGAGACAGAGAGAGGAGAGAGAGCGCTACCATAACAGTTCCTTTGAGATTGAAAGAAGTGGAGTGATTAGTTGCCAAAGAGATAAAGATGCTTCAACTGAAAAGATTAGTAGAGCATTGAAGGGAAAGATGAAGCTGAAGAGCAGAAGAAAAGGCATAAATAGTGCCTAGAGTCATAAAACATTCTGGCTTCCTTCCTAGTATGTACCCTGGGATTGCATGAGTCTCTTTCCCCGTCAGAGTTTCATTGTCTTCTCTGTTTCAAGAGTATAAAATACCCAACTAAGGAGATAGTATGAGGAACAAATGTTACAAGTATTAGACTCTTAATATATATTAATAAATTAAATATTGAAACAGTGATAATTAAATAAAACTAATGCCCAGTACTATTGACAAGGGAATGGAAAGTAACTAAATAAACATAGCAACATATGTGAAAGTGCCTAGAACAATTCCTTGCACAGATGGAGACTTAAATAATTTTGTTAAAGAAAAGAACAATTACAAGCGTAAAACAACAATTACAAAGTTTGGATTTTATTTTGAAAGCATGTCCAAGCAAAAAAAAAAAAACCCTTAATCCTAATATTTTTAAATTGTTTTTTACATATAGAAGCAGATGTGTCAGAGTATAATTTAATTACAGAATGCCCTCTGTTCTCTATTTCCAATTTGATTTAGCAAAACTTTTCAGAACACCTGCTCTAGGCAAGAAATGGCAAGGAATACAAAGATGAGTAAGAAATGGTTCTTTCTCGCAAGGAATTTCAGTCCCAAAGGAATGATGTGACTGCTATACAGAGTTATAGTGGTAGATAGACTACTTCAATCTCCCGCCTGTGTGTCTGGAAATTTTATTACTTTAAAGTCATTGTCTCACAAGAAACTGAAGGTACAGATTACCATCTCCATCCCACAAGGCAGAACTTGGCCTTGAAAATCTGGTGGCACATATACACCATGAAATACTATGCAGCCATAAAAAAGAATGAGTTCATGGCCTTTGCAGGGACATGAATGAAGCTGGAAACTATCATATCATTCTCAGCAAACTAACACAGGAACAGAAAACCAAACACCGCATGTTCTCACTCATAAGTGGGAGTCGAACCATGAGAACACATGGACACAGGGAAGGGAATATCACACACCAGGGCCTGTTGGGGGTGCGGGGGCAAGGGGAGGGAGAGGATTAGGACAAATACCTAATGCATGCAGGGCTTAAAACCTAGATGACAGGTTGATGGGTGCAGCAAACCACCATGGTACATGTATACCTATGTAACAAACCTACCATGTTCTGCACATGTATCCCAGAACTTGAAGTATAATAAATAAATTTTTTAAAAAAGAAAATCCATCCTGGCTAACACGGTGAAACCCCGTCTCTACTAAAAAATACAAAAAAACTAGCCGGGCAAGGTGGCGGGCGCCTGTAGTCCCAGCTACTCGGGAGGCTGAGGCAGGAGAATGGCGTAAACCCAGGAGGCGGAGCTTGCAGTGAGCTGAGATCTGGCCACTGCACTCCAGCCTGGGCGACAGAGCGAGACTCAGTCTCAAAAAGAAAAAAAGAAAACTAAAAAAAAGTTTTAAAAAAATAATAATAAATAAAGAAAATCCTTACTGTACCCAAGGTGGGCAGAGAATGGGAAAACCCTCTATTTTTGACATTTCAGAGTGACTAACAGATGAATAGCAAGAGGGGGTGCAATTTTATCTGAGTACTTAAAACTATATAAACAGAGACAAAACTAAAATAGATGCAGAGGGAAATCTCAAAATTCTCTCAAATTTAGGACAGAGGTACTTCTGAGTCAACATGTGTAGGGCTCTGGTCCCAACCCTGCCTTTCTCATACCTGCTTGGTTTGACCTATTCTTCATATAATGCTGTGTCAGATTTTACTGGGGAAGGGCAGACGATGCATTTGAAAACCACTAACTAGTGGTATCACATGACAAGGTTGTGGAACATGTCGAAAACAACCTGCCAGCCTAACTCAAAATTGAAACAACCCTCAAGGGTATACTGAAACATATATTTACTGTATTCACACGAGAGTGGCTTGTATAAACTGTACCATCTACAGTGAAAAATACTTTCCACTGTTGTTTTAGAAAGAGACTGCTTTTAACATGCCATGTCTGCAGAATACATTCAACTGTATGTTGTCAGGAACTTCGAATAAATAAAAATCATGATGCATGTTGTGTGCATCACACATGTCACAGGCCTCACTGTCTCTGGGAACAAATGAGGTCATATTGATGTCAATTACCTGTCACTGGATAGTTAGCCCCATGTGCTGGCACAGGACCCCAGGCCCCTCTTCAGAGTCTCTTCACATTACTTCCAGGAGTCCTCAGGAAGTAATACATGTGTGCTTAAAAAGAAATTGGCTCATGATCTTCTGCTCTGCATGCCTTGGTGATGTCTGATGCCCTCAAGCCACTGTCCAGGGTGGTTTTCTGGGTGCTAACAAAGCACCAAAGATGTTTAAACCCCAAGGTTCACAAAGACCTTCATGGGGCGGGGGGAAAAAGCCACTTCTGCTTCTGATTGCCACCTCTCATTACAAAGGCAGTCGTACCTCGTTTCTGAGTCTAGACTGAGCATCAGACTATGCTATCCTCCTCCACTTTACCATCTTCCATTCCTGTGGTCCCAGACAATTTTATGTCAATGGAGAGGACTGGGCTACTGGCTCTATGAGTAATCTCAGGGACCGTGTTGACCCTATGCAAAAGGGAAAACTTACAGGAGAAAACCTAACTGTGGTTTAAATAATAAGATCTCTATTATTACCAACAAGTCTGGAGGAGAGTCCCAAAGTTGGTTCAGTGTCTCACAAATGTCAAGTTTCTAAGCATTTTCCATCTTTTCCATTTTACCACCCTTAGCGTATTGACTTTCCCTCCCTGGCTTATGGCCACAGTCTCCAGATAGCTGCTGTAGTTTCAAGTATCTGTCCTACCTCTGTCTTGAAAGGCAGGAAAGAAGATGAAGTTGGAAGGCATCATTCTCAGCAAACTAACACAGGAACAGAAAACCAAACACCGCAAGTTCTTACTCATAAGTGGGAGTTGAACAATGAGAACACATGGACACAGCGAGGGGAACAACACACATTGGGGCCTGTTGTGGGGTGGGGGTTAGGGAAGGGAGAGCATTAGGACAAATACCTAATGCATGCAGGGCTTAAAACCTAGATGATGGGTTGATAGGTGCAGCAAACCACCATGGCACATGTATACCTATGTAACAAACGTGCACATTCTGCACAGGTATCCTGGAGCTTAAAGTAAAATTAAAAATAAAAGAAAGGCAGGAAAGAAGGGAGAAAAATTTTAAAAGTTCTCAATGACTATGTATACATTTCTGTTTGAGTAAAGATTATTTTTCCAAGAAGCTCCCAGGAAGACTTCCCCATATATCTTACTGCCTGAAGATTTGTCACATGATCACCCCTAGTTACAAGAAAGTCGGGCAAGAGTTGATCTGGTGTTTCATCCTCAATCCTGAAAGCGAGATGAAGGAGTAGAAGAATGTCTGGTTGCTTCTGCCATGATGTCCAAAATGACTTCCATGTGAGAGTGGTGCTGGGATATGAACCCCTGTGAATG